TAAAATTCCTCATGAGTACGGTATCCTGTGGTTTTCACAACCTAAGTGCTACCCCAGGAATTTTCCTTTCTTGCTGTCTTCCAGTCCTGGTGGTCCATAGGAGATGCACATTATGAAGAGTCTCAATTCATTCCATTCTAATTTCACACCCATATTCTTTTAAAGTTATACATTTTCTCAACATTTTAAGTACCTATTGTGCACCACAGAGATACTTAGCAGCTTTCCAGTCTATATTCCTCCCTCTACTCAACTCAAATTGCTTTTGAGTATAGGGGTAATAAAAAAATAATAGATTAGTAAAATGATCTCCAAGATTTTAATGTTGCAAGTTAAATATTTCTGCCATTTTTAATTTCCATGCTTGTTTGTATCTATATGCACTCGGCATGAAGTAGAGAGTTATGGCTATTACACAGATGACTTAAGGAGAATAGCAATTTGGCTTCAATGATCTAGATCAGAGTATGTGGGAGAAAGAAATGTTAGCTTGTGTTGGCCGAATACTGTTTTCTTTGTTCACTCTAGTGTACAGTGGTAGATTCAGATTCAGCAAGTAACCCAATTTAATCCTCAGCTTGCAATCCAATTCTGCTCCCTGGATCTTTAATTTGAATTTTCTTCTTTACTAGCTCAGAGAGAGTAAATACAACATATTTTCTAATTTTACAAGCCATTTCAGAACATTTTAAAATAATATTTATCAACCTCATTAGGTTGTCCTTTATTTGAGTTATTCAAAGTGAATAATTTGATTTCAAACTAGCCATCAATTGTTCTCTCCTTATCCAGAAGTTCCAGTTTTGATAACATGTTCTATTTTGCTAAGAGCTTGGACACAATTTGGTGCTATTAGAATAAAATGCACATATCTGAAATAGTAATTTTATACCAACTTGTATTGTTGTTTTGTCTTTTCTATTATTCAGATGAGTTGTTCACTTTCATAATTTTATCTTCTCATCCTATATAATAAAAGGCTAATATGCAAATCGACCGAATGGTGGAAAAACCGGTCGTTATGATGTGCACTGACCAGGGGGCAGACACTCAAAGCAGAATTTGATTTACAATTTATTTGTTTTGTATGGAAGCCATCATAATTATATGTAGATAGTGTTCTTGATAAGAAATAGAAACATTTACTTAATTATGGTTAATATCTAAACAAGGGTAAAAAGTTAGTTGTTTTTTTTTAATATTAAACTAAAGTTGCAACAGCAATCTTTACCTACCCTTAGTGACTTCTCTGGAAAAACATTTAAAGAGTGTTTACTTGAATGCAGAAGTCCTGAAATATGTGTAGATGGCAGAACAATTTTGAGAGATTATTCTGTGTTTCTTCTCTGGATTTTTCCCTTTTCCCCATCTCAAGCTGTGAGTCAGACCCTGGGTACTTCTTTGTGTCAGAACTTTGTTCAGGTGAAAAGCATACACTAAAAAGCTTTTGGAAGACAGATCTGTCTAGGAGGGAGGGGAGGAGGGAAGGAAAGATGGAGAGAGAGAGAGACTAAAGTCACTGAAAAGAATGTAAAGACTGGTTTCATATCCTCCAGATATGAAAGGAAAATGTAGGCATAGAAAAAGCATTCTTGATATCAATTGCTATAGCCTAATGATAGACCACAAGAAAAAGCAGTAATGTTTTGTATATAAATATAAAAGCCCAGTGACTGAACAGCAGAATGACCAGAACGACCGGTCGACCAGTCACTATGACACGCACGGACCACTGGGGAGCAAACGCTCAATGCAGGAGCTGCCCCTTGGTGGTCAGTGCGCTACCACAGTGCACGGAGCGGCTGCTCCTGCTGCGAAGCCCAGCTCGATGGGAAGTAACCTGGGCTATGATTGTTGCCTCCTCGCCCCAGGCTCCTCCTCCCTCCCTGCCGCCTCCTCCAGACGCCTGCAGGCCCTGCAGCACCTCAACACTGACCACCAGGGGGCAGATGCTCAATGCAGGAGCTGACCCCTGGTGCTCAGTGTGCTTCCACAGCGTGTCGATACCCACAGGCCACGCCCCCCACCAGTGCACGAATCCATGCACTGGACCTCTAGTTGTAATATAAGACTCTATGACACAACTCTGAAAGTCTGAGAAAACGCTAATGACAGAAATAAATTTCCCTTTGGTATTCAATTAAGATAAAAGTAAATGTGTTGGAGAAACCAAGATGGCGGCATAGGTAAACACGTGAAATTGCTGCCTCACACAACAACTTCAAAAATACAACTAAAAGACAAAACGGACATCATCCAGAACCACAGGAAGGCTGGCTGAGTGGAAATTCTACAACTAGAAGGAAAGAGAAAAGCACATTGAGACTCAGAGGAGGTGCGGAAGTAAAGTGCAGAGGTACGGAGGCGCACGCGGAAAGGGCTGGCAATTGAGAACGCGGTTGTCTTTTTCAATCGGGAGGGAGGCACAAGCTCCCGACTGCTCTGAACTCCAGTTCAGAGCAAAAAACACCCAACCAGAAAAGCAAAAAGAAAAAAGAATTCAAAAATATGAAGATAGTGTAAGGAGCCTCTGGGACAACTTCAAGCATACCAATATCCGAACTATGGGAGTGCCAGAAGAAGAGAGAGAGCAAGATATTGAAATCCTATTGGAATAAATAATGATAGAAAACTTCCCCTACCTGGTGAAAGAAATAGACTTACAAGTCCAGGAAGCGCAGTGAACCCCAAACAAAAGGAATCCAAAGAGGACCACACCAAGACACATCATAATTAAAATGCCAAGAGCAAAA